AAATTTTATGTCGCTCTGGATTTTCCCGGTAGTGAGTATAAAGTTGTTCGGATACAAGTATCAATACGCGTACTGAGAGCGCGGGGTAAAACCGGGGGGACCCCGAATTTTACTACAACTGCAACTAGTAGACTGCGACGGATGACCTGCTGAAGTACGATATAAATATTTTATTCCTAGTTTGATGTACTTCTTAGCTTTAGGATTCACGCGACTAGAAAACAATTAATATTATAAAAAAATAATTTGGACTGTTTGGACAGTTCACACAATTTTTATATGAATTTTATTTTTTTGAAGGAAATAATTTGTCTATAGATTGCGGTTTTCCGGTCCATTGCAAAATTCGAAAGATAATTGAAACCCCCGTTTAGCGCAGTTTTTGCAGAACAATGCATGAAAAATAGAATTACAGCACCAAACGTCCCGTTTCTTAAGAATTTTTGTGTTATAAATTTTATTTTTATTGGTGTGAATTATTCGCTACTTGGGAGACAATAAATGAAAATCTATGTGCATAGGAGAAGAAACTAACAACTCTCGGGAAAAAATAGTCATACTGACTTTAAAAAAAATCATACCAATTATCGTTACCAGCGAGAAAAATTGCAAAATGCACATTTAAAGAAATTAAGAAAATGATATGAGAGTTCATGCCTTTCAAGCAGCTAGTTAAAAAAACTGCGGTTGAGGGTGGCCCAAATTGAAGGCACGCATGTAACAATCCTGTAAACAGATGATATTTCTGTAGGTATTTTGTGCTTCCTGTTAGCAAGTGAACTATTTGCGCTTTCAAAACTAAAAAACGTAAACATTGCAACGGACTCGTTGTACGAGTACTCGGGTTTTAGCATCGGCTATGTGTTAATTATACTGCACGGCGGCATGCTATTACCAAGACTCGGCACGCCGAACCAAGAAGTTGCATACTGCAATAATGCATGCAGCGCCTGCAGGTCTGAAGTAATGTCTGTTCTCGTGGACCAAGGGCTGCCGGTCAGGAAAAGTTTATTTCTTGCAGTGGTGTTACTGGAGGCAAAATGCTCCGCATGTGTTCGTTAACTAAAATTTTAATGTAAATATTGTATATTTGCTACATAAATTTAATATACTCAGCATTATACTTTATACAGCAATACGGAATACGACCAGATCAATGCTATTGTTAATATATATTTTCTGTTGAATCTACGAAAAACATTTCAATAAAATGAATGAAAATAATGTTGAGTGCTGGACTATGTATGATAATCGCATACATAATATAACGCTTTGATAATGAAAACAAAAGTCCCTGAAACATTTTAATTTGCTCTCATTGATTTTTACTCGCAAACAAAACGGAATAAAAAGTCTAAATTTCTTCAAAACTAAAGGAAAAAGGATCGGTATATACAAATTACTCAACTTCATACTGTTCAAAAAAGATAATTAATTTTATAATTTCAATTAATTGTTAGACAACTCGAGGAAGTATGAGAGCAAAACCAAGCCTAACATGACCGCGAGCAGAGCTTGGAGCACGGGATTCTAAAAGACGGTTATGTCTTCAAATCGATAATAATAATGATCATGATTAAAAAAATATAGTAAAAATTATGCGTAAAAGCATAGATTCTGTGACAGACACACGTCTTTTGAAAACATACGAATTTATGAGGGCGATTAGAGTTCGATAAAATATTTGTTCATGAAAGTTATGTCTAAAAACAAGGGTTGAGCTACGGAATCTTCGGTTATAACGGAAACACGGACAAAAATGTGCATTCAATTTTACTAGAATCTGTAGCGTCAGCTAAATTATGAAAGAACACCGAGTGTGAAGTTCTAAAATGGATCATTTCCAACATTTTATCCATTTAAAGGATGTCCACAATAAAAATTTTAAAATTAACAACAACTCAAAGAGACCCGCGAATATTAATTAATCAGATCGCAAATCGACAGAAAATTCTATGATAACAGTAGATATACAACAATAACAGAATAGAGGCGCAAATAAGGATAATACACAGAAAGATTATTTTTAAAAACTATACAGAATACACGAGCGGTTTGTAAATGTACATTTAGAATAACAGATCAGCTGGCGCATGACAATACCCATATATAGTTCAGCCTCTTAACTCCTTGAGTAGGTGTTAAACTAACACCAGTTATGTACACAGTACAAAATTTACAATTATAGCATGGCACGTGACGCTTACAAATAATTCACACAGATTTACGCACATACATCGGATAAAATAAGTGATCTACTGAAAGCAATTTCAATACATAAACGACTGACAGCGATGATCAACCGAGTTCAATCTCAAGCTAACATCTAAGCCAATCATCAGCCATAACTGTTATACTCAAGTGATTTACGAACGTTTATTGTTTTCTGTCATTGTTGAGGGATACAAAATAACTTGGATGATAATGAACTTTACGCAGGTATTTTCAGGAATAAAATGGTCACAACGCGTTGCATGATTTGGCGAATCGTCGTCGAAATAAAATAGTTATCCAGTGATGCATATAGAATTAAGATGGAAGCTGTGCAGTGTGCATCAGACTAAGATGAAATGACAACTTAAAAGTAAATGGACGGAGGAAAGTCATAGTGTCGTACGCTAGCTTGGCCTGCCGTTATAACATACGAGGTAGCCTTGGTGGACTTAGGCTAGGGAGGTGATGTGTTATCACAACACGCGCGAGATGTGTTGTCACTTGCAATTTACTTCACATTTGATTCATGGACAGCGTCTTACATGCGTAGGAAACTCTCGTTTCCTTCACATGTGCTGCATGGATCGTGTCTTACATGCGTAGGAAACTCTAGTTTCCTTCACATGTGATGCATGGATCGTGTCTTACATGCGTAGGAAACTCTAGTTTCCTTCACATGTGATGCATGGATCGTGTCTTACATGCGTAGGAAACTCTCGTTTCTTTCACATGTGATGTATGGTTCGTTTATTATCTGAGCGGGAACTTAGGGTCCCCACAAATGATGCTTGGAACGTGCCTTAAAACTAGAAACTGGCACAGAGAAATACTACACTAGCCTCGAACGAGCGATATCTTTATCCTAAACATTAGAAACCTACAAAGAATAAAAAAAATTAACTTACTGAGAACCATTCCTAGGGTCATAACCTCACGGTAATACGATGATTTTGAGTTAGCGAAGAAGTCCTACAAACACCCGCATGAATATTCGTATAAATACACTGTGTTTGGAGTCAAAGTGAGACAGACGGAAGCAGAATATTTTAGTGCGAGTAAAATAAACGCTTCCGGATATAATAGGCAAGAACAATTTGATTGATTTGAGTCATGATCGTCTAGTCGGGTTAGTAATCCCAGCTAAAAAAAACAATAGATATGATTACAGATCTTTTAGGAAGCATTACTCTTTGCAAAAATTTTTTCAGAGTGCGTGATTGGAGAAATAGTATGCAATGAAAAGAAAAATTCGAATTTTGGATTGTGCATCCAAATTATACAATTTTTTAGACGAAGAGAGCCAAGAGTTCCTTAACGAGAGTTAGCATAATGATGAACATGAGAGTTGAATGATATAGCTAAGTATCTATGCAGCGCACTAATTGGCGCCATTTATAGAACGCAAACGCAAAATGGAGTATAGAAGTCGGAGCTTCGGTGAACAGGAGTACAATTCAACACAACAAAATGATTCTGGTGCATTTTTGTAACTACTACCAAAAACACATACAATTTCAAATTGGATACGTTGTGAATATTGCACACGTTTTATTAAAAAGGTCTTCAAATAAGCTATCATTTAAATGTTCAGGAATTTTTGTCGACTTGAATTTGTGATATACAAGTCGATATTCAATTTCACGAAAATTTTGCCATATAATACCTACGAACGATTGGTTTGACATCTTGCTAGTAGGAATGGTGCCTAGAACTAAAAGAAGGATATTAAAGCAGTAACTACAATAAAGGACTTGGAGAAAGCAGCAAGCCCTTGAGGCAGTGGTGCAGGAGCAGCAGCAGGGGCAGCAGCAGCAGCGGCTCGCACCTCACCGAGGGACGCCCCCCACTGAGCCCGTACCAGACACGCAGGCCTTCCTCCACCGCCAGCGCGTCGCCGTCCTTTGATGACGCTGAGGAACTGGTAGCACAGATACCAGGGCATGAGTCAGCAGAATGATGGACGAAGTGAGGTTGTTTATGCCGTGATTGAACAATTGATTGCAGAAAATCATGATAAGGTTACGCCATGGTCCGATCAACGGGGAATATCATGACCTGGTCACGCCTTTGATGCATCGGGTTGTTACGTCAATTTTTAAATGGACAACAACCCTGCACCGCACTAATAATGGTATTAATTTAACAATGGCTTACACAAGTGAATGAGATTTGGAATTCAGCGTGAAGCAAATATTTGAAGCTCGTAGATGCCAAACTACTCGAGGTTAAGATTGGAGCTAAAGCCATGTGGAGTGGGCATCCTGATATTTCATTCAGTATTGCAAAACATCGCGTCATCTTCACGAGGATAAATAATGTAAAATTGTTCTAAGCACAAAATTTCATTTCATACGGGAACAGATATACCGATTTTGATGCTTGGGCAAGTAAAAAATTATTTATTGCAGTAATATATTATTTTCTTCAAATATTTATAATAATAGGCACTATAGGCCCTATAAATTTTTATACTCGAAAACTATAAAACGAATTTGTCCTTGAAGAATTTTCGCAAGACCTCTCAGAGTAATGAGCACAGTTTCACTAGTTGCCAGATTAAGGAGTAGGATATCTAGGACAAAGATTTTGAATTTATCAATCAATACGTGTAAATCGGTCTAATTTTTGTTACCAATAAGTGTAAATCGAAGTTCTCACCGAATCCACGCAAACATAACTTAACGATTTCATTTGACTATTGAAACATGTTAAAAGCGCGCAAGAAAAGGTCTTAACAAAATTAAATTTTCTTAAGAATTAAAATGTTCACATGTAAATAAGTTGGAAGAAGATCTACCTGGCGGGTTGGTCGGCGTCTATCCTGACCCAGAGGTGGTTGAAGTGCGCCTTCTTGGGCGGAGGGGGAGTGGTGCTGGGGGGCCGGGTTCGCTCCCGCGACTCCAAAAGGGACCCGGGGGGGGGGGGGGGGAGGGGGAGGTAGAAAAACAAACAATAAGTTAATGTACACCTTACAAAACTGACAAAACACAATTCTTAACTTCATACTTTTTAGATATAACTTTGGTTATAACTTAATATCGCCAAATCATTGAATGATTGTTTGCGATCTTGTCAAATGTTTGTTGTTTCGGTTGTTTCGACCTGTATGTAATCAGGCCAACGGTTATTGGAAAATGTTTCTTATACTTTTGTCAATAATTGAAGGTGGAATTGGCAAAAATATTACATGAATGGAATTGGCCTAAAAAATGATATATCCAATGTAGCCGCGTTTGGATTTTGGGTACAAATTTTCCAACTCACTCACTCACGCAAGGCATCTTTGAAATCCGTTTCGCGTAAGAGCAGCGCCGTCTCCCAAGCCTATGATATTTTTACGGTCCTAAAATTTTTCTCCCCGTGCCAACAGATCCGCTTCTCGTGCCTACAGCCCCGATTCCTGTTCCTATCACCTCTGCTACCCACACAATCTTCACTCAGTTACCGACCTACACACAAGGATTCAGGCCGGCAGACCGGGAGGCGTACTTTTAAAACTCGATTAAATACACGTTGCGCCCTAAGTACACGTATAGTGACCGATTTTTCGCCTAGGATTTGTAGTTTTAGCTTGAAAAGCCGTAGCTTACGGCTGACGGAGTTAGGAACTCTTAACTATTTACGACAGTATACGGCCCCTGGTCACCGGAGCAGCAGCCAGTCCTGCATCGTCGGGGTCTAACGCAGCCCAGGCAGTAAAAAAATAATGGATGCTTATAATAAGAATAATAATACAACTACGAGCATCCAACAGAGAGGAACTCACCTCGTAAAGGCCGGGTCCATCTGTTGGTGGAGAAGAAGCCTGTTGGGCGCGTGGGAGAAGTTCTTGAGCACCTTCGTGTCTGGCAACACTGCTCCACCCCTTTGGGTAGGCCGCTTGTGTCTGAAATACATTTATGATATGTGAATTATAAACATTTTCAATCTATTGCAGTAAGTGTGAGAATGAATTTGCGGATTCGCAGTGAAACGTGTTGTCATGAGCGTGCATAGAAAATTGATTTATGACTCTTATTGCAGGCCGAGAACTGGTCCAATGAATGAAATATTGAAGAGGACGTGTACTGCTGGAAACTCTGGGAAGAAATTCAAAATGATTTATGGAATCTTTAACCAACAAGTTTTTATGAACGTGAAATTAACTTCGTGTATCCAAGTTATCCGAGACATTTTACTGCACATAAAGTAAGTTATTAATATGATAGACTATAATAAGGCATTCATCGAAATGAGTCGTTTGTAGAAAATTTAGACGCTAGTTATACAAGCTTTTATGAAATATAAAGCGCATAATAGACCGCAAAAACTAACTTTCCAGTTAACGAAATTAACAGTGTTCCTACCGTAGAGTTAAACGAAAACTTGTTTTCAACCCACAACGTTTTTTCAACTCCGCATCATTCGCGGGAACTAGTAACGAAGCCTACGACTGCTGGTGTCCAGAATTAAGTTTGATGAACGCTAAAGACATCGGCGGTGAGGCTTACTTCTTGAGGCGGTAGTCCGGACCGACGTGCATCACTTGAAAGCCGGCGGCTCGCACCACGTCCAGGACGGTCCTGTTGCCCAGGAAATGCCCTGCAACGCCAGAATGAACATCACGTTTTAATTTAAAATACTAGGCAAAAGGTGCATGGGCCAGTTGTTCACAAGGCTTTGAAACATTGGGAAGACATGTAGAAGAGCTTCGCACTAAATGAATTTAGTTTCGCATCCAAAACCTGTAAGGTCATCACACAAAACTTGGGGATTAGCTGTTCCACGTGCATTGGGCGCACTTCAGAAGAACATAATATTGTAATAATTAGCGGTGAAGAATTGTATTACTCATTAAATCGTCACAGAAATTTGCGAAATCGTTGGGCTACAAGGCAAAATAAGGGTTTTTTATTTTTAACCCTGCAATCCAGCATCAAATTTATAACGAAAATTACGATCAACATGTACGTTCAGGAAAACAATGGATGAACGTTCATTTCTTCAATGGATCATTTATTATCACGACGAATGTATTGGATATAATTCGGCCCCTGTAGCTGGATCATAAATAAGCATCGCACAAGCAAATGATGTTGTCAGTGGAGGCTGTTGATGAGGCGCGTATGCCAGCGCTGATTATGTCCTGGTTCCTTTATAACGGACGTGCAAGCTTTTCCTCTAAGGAACGCCATCCATTATTCACCAGAGACGGACGAGCAAAAACCGCTCGTTACGGCCCACTCGTGGCTGCAGCGTTCGATAAATCGCTAAACCATGGCGGCCTAAACAGGCCTAGCGGGCACGCTTCTGTTTGATTTTTATTTTATTTTACATGATTGGTTCTTGGCTTTCTCGGGGAGCTCCAGGTACAAAGTTAGCTAGCTAGTGCGCATAATAAAAATGGCGTTAAATACTTATTACATGGTCGAGCCGTATCGCAGTTTTAGTTATGCCCAGCCGTAACGTACTATGTGTTACAGCCGAGCCCAATCGTATTGTTTGTTATAGCCGAGCTATATCGTAGTTTTTGTTGTATTGCTGACCCGTATCGTACCGTTTGTTGCTGCTAGAATATTTGACCCGGTGAAACCACAACACGTTCGATCACGCAACTGGGGCGCTGACAGAACATTATGCCCCGTAAATAAAATATGGACATATGGACAAGGGGTATTGGGCCGCAGGCAACGACAACGAAGGTGAAATTTATGGACAGGAATTCAGCATAGCGTCGCAGACAAAGGGTCTAGTCTGCTATGACATGAATTTCAATAGTTGACAATGCGAGGGCCAGAATGGCAGCATGAATTTTGGACGACTATTCGAGATTTTCATCGAAACGAAAGCTTCAAGAAATGAGTTATGCAACACACGTTGATTCTTGCGTGCAGTGAGGCATTAATTTCTTACTCATATGGCACCGAAGCATTATTCTTCATAACGTTATGCCCAGGGATCTTATATGGTAAAGAATCGTGCAGTCAGAAGAATGCGACCAACAAAACTTTCATAGTTTGATCACAAAATATTGGTCTATCGATTAAAACTTTTAAGCGAGCTTTCAATTGACAAGAATTGATTATTGTTGATAATCCGGACGAGAAACATGGACACGCCGCTTAGACACCACAAAATTATTGACATCACTTCCAATAAAGCTCTTTCAGCACTCGCTTAAATTGAGCGACGAAAACATATTAATTCTCTCCTTCTTCTCGAATGGTCATGTTAAATTTTTAATGAAAAATATTACTATTGCTGTAACTTTTAATGTAAATTACGGAAACTTGAAAATTAAATTACGTACAGTCGTTTGAAAAATGACAGTTAAATTGCAAATATCGCACATTTGCTTAAAATAATTTTATTGATATTGTCCAATTTATTCCTTAGAGTATGCATAGAGCTCTAATAACGCACCGAATTTTATCTATGCGGTTTCTATTTTTATGAACGGCGTACCAATTAGAGATTGCAAGAAGGATATTAGATTAGCCAGGCTCAGGAGAAAAATAGTAGCTTGGTCTGTCGAGATACCAAGAGAATATTTAATCAACTCATCCAACTATATATTGTATCATTGCCTGACGACACAGCAAGAGGATATTTAATTAGTATATAGTAGTCTGGCATGAGGGCGTGAGCAAGAACATTAGCTCAGAGGGCGGCGCCCTCAGTCTCTCGCCACTCCAATAATGAAGGTTGCTCTCAGCGTCAAAACACGATACTTTACGGCACTTTAGGCTCCGCAGGACACACAACTGCGTCTTTATGTGTTCTTGGTAAACTCCACTCCATCTCCAAGTAAGCGATGAGTGACGATACTTCAGGCACGACTTAAACGACGCAAACTCATAAATTTGAGTGCGTGTTTGAATAAATTAACACACGGCAGCAGTGCGACGAAACGAATTTGGCAGTCACGACTGGTTAAAAGATAATTAATATTGTATTAATTGGTACGCATAATAGCTCGAGAAAATAATATTATAATATGAATGAAACATATTTTGAAAGACTTCAACTCAGCTTCGACATATTCTTTTTTTTTTTGTCAGCTGTTTGGAGGGTCTAAGCGATGAGCAGATAACTTTGGTAAGCTCCCTCGCAGCCTCTACCATAGAATCTTTTCACCTCACTCATTTTTAATTGTCTTACGTTATTATTATTATTACGTTCCGACAGCACAGTCGGAACATCATCGAGTATTTAGCGCTATTTTGGAGAGCACTAACCGTCGCCTCACAAGAACAAGCAGTTCGTAGTACGACATATAATTAAAACAGGTGCGCACAAACAGTTCGTAGTACGACATATAATTAAAACAGGTCTGCACAAACAGTTCGTAGTACGACATATAATTAAAACAGGTCTGCACAAACAGTTCGTAGTACGACATATAATTAACACAGGTCCGCACAAACTGTTAGTAATACGACATATAATTAACACAGGTCTGCACCAACAGTTCGTAGTACGACATATAATTAACACAGGTCTGCACCAACAGTTCGTAGTACGACATATAATTAACACAGGACCGCGATATCGTGCGAAAGAAACAACAAGTCTGCCCAGTCAAGGTGCGAGATCAGGCGGGCGCTGCGACGGCTGCGTCCTCATGCGAGAAGGCGATTTAGCGAATTATAATAAACAAAACCAATGTTGAATTATTTAAAAGTAATTAATTCTTCTTAAGTAAGATTGAGGCAAAATCGTATTAATATGCAACTCAAAATTACCATTAGTTTCATTTGTAATTTATTTATTTATTACAATTTATTAAGACTAATGTCTGGTTTTCTGAAGCACGAGGAACTGGAGACTTAACTGCAAGTAATCCAGCAGTCGCACAGAGCAGGCCATATGTAAGATACCATTATATATTACAGTCAAAAATAAAATCGCATATTTTCAATCGATACCGGTAATTGATTTTAAAAAATTACGGTTTATAACAGACACAATATAATGTCCCCAATAAAGTCGAGTAAGAAGTACAGCGTAGATTACGTGACCTGCAGCCATTCCACCCGATGTCGTGCTCTTGCAACGGCACTTCACATTACTGTTATTGACGTCTCTCATGATATTTTTCGATTCTCAAACGAATTTTATTCAAAAATATTTTTCATGGACAATTTACTTCATATAATTAATCATCTACATTGGTTATCAGCTAAAATATGACCAGAATAATTTGCTAAATAAGAATATATTAACGCGTAGGTTATAATCAAAGAAATGCATAAATAGATTATGTACTCGAGATGGCTCTCACCTGCACCAAATGCGAAGAAAAAACTACGCTCAGGATGTTCCAGCATCACCTGATGAAAATATGAAATATAAAATTAGTTCACAGGATAATCTGGTACAAAGCTTAGAACTTGAACACACACACATCTTCACGGCAATATTCACTTCTAAATTGGGTTTCGATCAACATAATAATCATCACATTAATAATTTTCCGATCATTTTATTTAACAAATCCTAATATTTGATAATATTGCTTTAACTAAAATGAGGTAAATATGCATGAGGTTGTTCACCGAAACTAGGTACTTAATCACAACAATAACCATTACATAGATAATAATGCTAACATTTTATTTCAACTTCTTCATATTTGATAATATTTATCTAACTATAAAATGAGGTGACCTGGACAACTCTGGAGCCCATGCGCTCGTTCCTCCTGTAGATGAGCTCCTCTCTGAAGTATTGGTCGATGAGCTGCGCCGTCGCGGCTTCCATGGGCGGCAGCGAGCTGTTGCCCAGGTACGGTACCTGCTCAGCCGGTCATATAATACTTATTATAAGGTATAAATGATAATAATTGCTAGGCAGCGGCACACGCATAGCCGTTCAAACAATACTAATTATAAGTAATTAATGATAATAATTATTAGGTAGCTGCACTCAAACCACCAAATAGAATACAATTTATCAGTAATAAATGAGGACAATCATTAGGCAACCGCTCAACCTTCCATACAATACTCATTAAAAAAACAGTATTGCCCGTAAAAAATAGTACAATTTTTAGGCATTATTTAATTACAATTAGGCTTTAGCTTAGCCGTTGACAGAATTATTCGTTAATAATGTATAAATGATGACGACAGGTAGAAGCTGGTGCCTAGAATATGGATAAGCACCAGCAAAACCATCAATACAGCAATTGTTGTTCGAAATTAAGTAGAAGAAATACACGAGTATAATTACGCAGCAAATAACAATAAAATAAAGTCAGTCTAATGTGTGATTCGTCTCATACGGCAACACATCCAAAACGACACCTACAACGAAACAACTAGTCATTAAAACATAATACTAACCAAAGGAATGCATTTAGAAATATGTTGTATATTATAGCGCATATTTAGTTCAGGAGCTCATGAATGGTACATGCATTTAGACTATCTTTCGTATGAAACTACAATCACTAGAAATATATAGGCAAGGGATGGGTGTCTCAAATATACTGAAGAATATAAAGATTTCTTATCAGCAGGACTAGGTCATCAAAAAATGTATATACGAGGCAGGTCATTTCCTAGGCACTCGAGAACTGCGCCTCCGTGGCGATGCTGCACCAGATATTGGCGACCGCGCCAGGCATCGCGACATCCGCTCAACTTTTCCTCTACAAGCACAATAATAAACAGGATAACAAATGAACATTAGGTGGATAGAAGAAAACCAACAAGTTAATGACAAGCAACTGATTCTTTAGTATCCTTGTCACTTCGCCTTTTTTTGAGACTGTGCAATCAAGGTAGGAACAAGGTGGATATAAACTAATTTAATACACAAAATAACATAAGTTTCTGTGGGTTTTCCCAGCGGAGTAAGAGACCTGCGCGGTGTCCTGGGAGAAGATAACAGCGTCGAGATCACCGCAGTTGTAGTGTCTGATGAGGTCGTCTGTCGTGTACACCTTGTCGCTGCGACGACTCTTGTGCTGCTCCTGCAGCGACAACGTGTGGTTCAGGGCAAACACCACCTGTCACCGACGTATCAGAAATATTATTGAAAATTAGTGATTAAACATAGTAAAATTATGGAGCATATGAGATCACAAGTACATTGGGAACGATTACTAATATATACGTAATGAGGGAGAGAATCGGGCAAAAAACTCATAGGCTTTAGAATTTCTTGGTAATAAAGCTTAAGCTTTGCCATGGGTACTGCAGAAATGTGAAATTTAACTTTTTTTTAGAAAATATGCACTTCACTGATATGTACTTCACTTTCTTCATTTAAAAACGAGCCACGGAATAAAACAAAAAAATTCTCTAATTATCTTACAAGTTTTGAAAGTATTGGCCAATATACAATTTTCAAATCCTATTTTTTCAAGTGATCCCAAAAGGTTGGCATAAAATTTTCAGTTTCTAAATTAGAATAAACTTAAATTAGGGAAGACCAATCAAGCGACGAATCAAGTACTGCTTGAATCACATGAATTTCTCCTATTCTTTAACATGAACACGAGAAAAAGCATGGTTAATTAAGAAATTTGCGAGACGCACTATATGCGCTCACTAAGAACACTGAGCAGCGGCAACGTTGATTGCTAAGCCGTCAAGGCAGCGTTATGCGTATTGAACCCTGGCGTCTGCAATGGCTTCATGCAGTGTTAAAAACTCGAGATTTTTTGGATCTTATTTTATTTTCGCTTGTCGCGTAGATTTCCGCAACATATTTCGAGCTGTAAAATTTCCAGGTATCCGTTAGATTTAGTCCTTTGCTGAACAAAGAAAATAATTTGAAGGACGTCGAAGCGATTTGAAAATCGTGATTGATCAAATGTAGCTGGTGAACAACAATGGATACATGAAGGTGCTAGAAAGCGATATTGTGAAGGTGCTAGGAAATGATAATAGATAATAATGAAATAGCACTTTTCTCACCGGAAAGTCAGTGGGCGACTCGAAGCATTCAAGACATCTGATCAACTGATGCATCAATTCGACCCGAACGTCAAACAAACCGCGCATCCATCGATCAAAAGGCGCACAAAAGGCGAACTTGACTTAGGCGCGAGTTTGTAATTGCAGTTCAGTCAATAGCAGGAGACAATCAAAGAGTGATGAGGCCCTGAAGAGGAATATTCCAGCCAGGCTCCATATATGGAAGGGACCCGACAGGCAGCCATATTTGTCTCCAGCAGCAGAGCAGAGGCGGCGTAATCTACGTCGAGCTAATCGATAGGGTTAAAAGCCTGAGCGTCGAGTGAGTCTGCTGCCATGATTGGGTAATGGCTAGGAGGCGCTGCAGGACCGGCCGAAACACTCGCGATCTTATCGCCTAATTGAGCGTAAATAAACAAGAGAGCAATTAGATCGAGACGAGCAATAGGGAAGCTTTCTGGCATACGTACACAAAGGGCGGTTCCCCATGAACAATATAGCCGACATGCAGGGGAAAGCTGACGGTGTTCGGGTGGAAAGCCAGGGTCATTGTGAAGAGAAAAAATACCGACCCAACCACGGCGCTCTACTGCCTTTAAAAGCACGAGATAAAAACAGCTCAGTAATTCCTTCGTTGCTCCACCGCGACGCGATCAAGACAATGCCAAAAGCATTAACATAATTGCAGGTTCATCCAAGCGCTTAAATCTTGCGCCATATCCGTTCGCAATGCGCACGCAATTGAGATATACCATCGCCGTATGAATTATGACCGGGACCAATTGGGACGATGATTATTCACAGAGTTCGTGATAACTGTAATGCCACAAACCGCGCTTTGGCGGAGAAAAAGTTGGACCCTAGTAAGGCCGAATTCATTCAATGTTTCTATTTCGAAGCTCTTGTCGTTTTGTGATCATTATTATTAACTTTATTTGTCATGAGATACCGTCAACATGTTTACGGTACAATATGACAGGCTGTCCAAAGTGGAGACTTCCAAGTAACTCTTGTTCAACATGAAAAACCAAATTTCAAAATTTTCAATGCAATAAATACGAGCATGCGTTCTAGAACTTCTCAAATACAAACATTCCAAATTTGAGGAATGTTGCATATTTTTTTTAATAAAAAAATGTCGCTGATTGAGCATTGCAATTGGAAGCGCCAGTTCGAGCATGCGGTCGCTACAGTAAGCTTTGGTCCAAACATGCCAGGAATTCAAACCTACTTCAATAATTATAATTAGGGATAAAATATTAACTTGATCAAATTGATTTCAGTAAATGGTTAACGTTCAATTTGATTCACTAGTAAGACAAAATGTTGAGAGTATATAAAGCTAATTTAGAAAACAATGTTAAAAAATTTTAAAAGGTTTTCTTGCAGGAAGAATTAGTTCTTGTTCCTGTCTAATAGAACATCATCTTCAAATAGAGCTATTATCCAAAGCTATAATCTCTTAAACCACTATGTTGGTAAATTAAAGTGCTACGTTTACAGATGAGCTATAATAACGAGGTGCATGCATCACAAACGTAGACAAGTGACGTTACCTTAATAAGAGCAAACAGGGGCGGCATCATCAATTGGTCACGGTTAATTAAGACGGCACTCTTGATGTTTATTGAAGAGAACGACGCCAACACACCGAGTGTATTTGCACTACAAGCTCAAGGCGCTGATAAAGGCTCACCTGCACAATAGCTGCAGCACCAGACCTGACGCATCTAATTATCGACGGGGCAAGTGAAGTGTTATGCGAAGAGCTGGGAATGTTAATTGTGTGCTATGTATTTAACGAGGCACCGAACCGCGAGCAAGATGCTCAGAGACAGCGGTGTACAGACGTAAATAACCAACGAATTAAGCAGCACTACAAGGTTAGAATGAAATTCTGGTAATTTTGAAATTCAGTCTGGGTCATTGGACACGATCAGGACCGGTAGTCTTCAAATTAGAAACGACTGATTAAATAAGTTAAAGTTCTGCGGCACTGGAGTTATATGCAATAAAACATTGTGGAATCAAGAAAGTTTTTCGTTTGAGTTCAAATCCTATAAAAATACTGTATATGTGTATTTACTTCATGTAAGAACATTTTTTGAACGAGACACGAGATCTGATGTCAGGGTGAAAGGAAGGCAGAAAGCTGAGCATATGGCTAAAAATTCAATGCCATCGATAAACATGGATTGATGAAAGATATTGAAAGGAAATGAGGAATAAAGCATCGTACTCATGGATAGAATGTATTCAAAAGCAGGTGAAAAAGGCATGAGGGGATGTAGTCTGTCAATGAATAATTGCAGGTATTTCACGCAAATAGAATGAGTGAGACAAACTATGTGATGCAGCTTCTATAAAATATCTATATACATGCTTGGACCAAAAAATGCGTGGTCTATGAGAAGGAAATTAATTTACTATAATAAATCAGTACGAGAAGTGAAGCCAATAAAGGCATGTGAGGAAGCAAGATGTGAGGAAGCCTAGAGTCTATGATAAAAGCTGCTGAGTGAGGCATGCGCAGAAGAAGAGACTGATTACTATAGGTGGTTCACCCCCGATCGCTGAGCCTCAGCCGCAAATAAAACAACCTGATAGAGATGCTTCACTGAGCAAACTGCCGTGCTGTTAGGCCACTCTCGAGGCGATGCATAGCGAATGCGGGCAATGATCGATTAACTGATTATCCCCTTAATTATGGACGCAATCAGCAAGTTAGGTAAGAATAGCATTGAAATTTCAGTGGATGCATTTGTCCGCTCAAGCGATGCAGACTAAACCACACAAGTCATGGGCTGTCAAAGAAAAATTTCACGCTCGAGATCACTTAGTAATGGATGCAGGGCGCGTGTTGCAGGTCTGGCATATTGCAGTGCACTGCCATTTGCGAGGTGCCAATTAAGTCAACACGACGAGCTACGCGAGATAAGAGCATTTTTTACGAAACAGACACCGGCATTCAGTAGGACATTCCTCGAACATAACCGGCTAGGGCGGACTAGATGAGGTTATCCCTGTACATACAGTAGCCGGCAGAGACAAAATATACTGAGAATTTATTGCTCGCACATTGTTGAATAACAAGAATAGAGTTGTGTTTACATCACGCAACAAAAAATTGACGAGTAACTTAGGATTAAAAACATTAAAATCACAATAAAAATTACCTAATATGATCATGTTTTAACTTTTTAAAAGCGAAGCATCAAGACTTCTCTGTATTGCAGCCGATGCGTTAAGGATAAGAAGAAATTAAAACGAAGAACAGAGAAGGAACCGAGAATATTTTCTGGCATGAAGTTAATACCTGCGAGAAGTTGAGGCCGTTGAGAGGTCTGCATTGCTCGTCGACCTCCTCGACGGCGCCCGTGGTCTTGGTCATCTTCTCGGCCTCCTGAGCGAGGTAGAGGTCCAGCACCGGCACCTCCCTGCTCCTGATGTCGCTCTCCGTCAGGCTGTTCACCATCAACATCACCCACACTGGACGCTTCCGTTCCCAATTTCCTGTAAAACCATCACAAGACCGCGTTTTAAAATATATAATCAAAGCGAATTACACAAGGCTTTATTGTAACACTGCTAGCCCGTGTCATAACTTAGCGCTCATACTACAGCGATATAAATAATCGAATTTTAGGTAAAAGAAAAGTAAGCCATGGTAAGCAGGCCGCTTCAATGAGTCAATGGAGACTCGTTCTCAAATCCATACAACAAGCAGTAAATGTAAACGTAAGGAATGGCCTTCACAAAGAGAGCCATCTTCTCCCAACGAGATTCGGGAAGGTATAAACTTGGCTTATATTAGCATTCAGAGGTGTGAGAACCTGTCGAATTTTCTTCATGCGCCATACACGTTATATATATATATATATATATATAGAGGCGCACTGGGGCTGGACGACTTCAGCCAACAGTTTAGCGGCGGCTTCAAAGCGCGGCGCTCAAGGCCGTGATTGGCAACCCTGCCTCGGATGCTCCAGCCATGCACCGAGGTTCGACTGCAGCGTCTATAATTCTATATACTCAGTTGAGTTCGAGATCTTTACGGTCACTCAGCAATGTAAATGACGGCAGCAGCTTCAAGAGCAGAGTACTTTTTCATTATCGCTTATCACCGCAAAAAATGCGCGTTCTCCAAACACTTCAGGATTTGGGACTAACGTGGGATTCCCTATATGCGTAATTGACGAATTTACTTTTCATAATGCGTTATTATTTATATTCGAACTTTCAGTTACTATTTAAGAAGGGAAACTTATGAATGAAACGGTTATTTTGCTATATATATTCAAGTTTCTAATTCTCAGTTAATTCTCAGCCATTAATGCTGGATCGATAAGTGTGAGATGAAATTGAACTGCCTGTGTAGCTGAAATGTAATCATCTCCCATGTGAATGAGTTATGAGAGTGAGAAGTGTGAAAGAAGAGTGTGTTTCGTTACACAATTACACACGATTCAACCGAATTGAACAAAATACGAAGGGTGTGAATTAGGAGATATTTATTCAGAGTGGAAAAAGGAGTCAAGAAGGAATCCCTGCCCGCGTTGCTGCTAGATCGAGCAGCGAACTGCGCGATCAAGAGAGTCCTGCAGCCCTCGCCTCAGGCCACAAGCAACAATATATAAACACTCAAAGCAATATATGAATACTCGCATAAAAAATGAGTAGAAAAATAAAAAGGAGCCCCACAAATAAATGCTTGAATAAAACATGCCTAATGTAACGGCCATACACTACAATTTAAGCGATAAGTAAAGGTGTTTGAGTCTGTCAAGATGTGACGCACAGCCAAAGATGTCAACACAACACATGCGATGGCAGCGATCGGAGGCGTGTGCAGACTTAGAGATTTATAAGGATCCGCAGATACGCCTACACGCAATACTTTACAATTATACTCACACAACATGCGGTGTCATATCAACATCTATCCAATAATCGATATTCAAACATGTAGCTGGTAATTGTTTGTAACCCGCCCGAGTTTTGGGCGTTTACAATATCGCAAATAACGCAAATTTTCTCGTATTAAATAAAGTTCCACATTAAAGGAAAATTTTGACTTATAGCAATTGTGAGACGTTTTATTATACAAAGTTATTCTATCGGCGCGCAATGATAGTTCCACATTGACTAACCTACAGTTAAGTAAAGTTGTATTTTAATAACAGCAGGAATAGACTATTCGGCATGAATTAAACACAAAAGAAACATTTTCTCGCAGATAAATTTTTAGACGAAAACTGATAAGACAATCAATTATTGGTCGCTTAGAAGATCCAATTCTAATCACAGAGTTGAAGAATTAATGCAGCATATAATAAGTCACATGCGCCGTCTAACGTACGGTATTCGTTATTGAAGAATAGAAATCAAGCTTAGCTCATATAAATGCTTATTATTGCAGTTTGGTTCAACGAACCCCGCGTATCCAAGATACCGCCAAAAGGTTTCAGATAATTCAGTTCAAGGACGCAATCAACCTGACACATCAACACCTATATTATAGGAATAGCGATGAAGTTATTACTAATAAAACATCAAATTAAGTTCAAATGAATGAATAATTTGAATATGAGACGGAACGTATTAAAACTGATAACCAGGTATTTTTATAGCCAGTTTATGCTTCATGAAAGGAACAAGGCAATTGCAGCTGGGGAGCCACACAAGCACTACAAGCTGGCACCGGCACTCTATTGCTGCATCTCTCTTGAGTGACCTCATCGCCTGCACTGTGTCTGGTGCAGTGCAGAGTGCAGTCATGTTTTAACTTTTCTTTCCTTTCGCCGAGTTAATAGTGCAGAATTACGATTATGCGATTAATATCAAATTTTCAACACTTAGCAATAAGCATTTGTGGATGTTACGGAAACCTACAGAAGAGTCTCCCGTATTTAATTCCCATTCCATTATTTTTTTTTTTGTCCCATCTGATTATCATTTTTTTCAATTTCGCGGTGCAAATTTGTACCTCAATTATAAACTTTCTTTTTGCTTCTTGTATCAGTGCAATAATCTAGGGCTAGTTAGCACTAGGCTACGTCAAGGAGGGTTCAGAAGGCCGTGATGTGTAGGGTGCAGAGGAGGCCGTGATGTGTAGTGTGCAGAGGAGGCCGTGATGTGTAGGGTGCAGAGAAGGCCGTGATGTGTAGGGTGCAGAGGAGGCCGCGTCAGGTCAAGCAGACGGACAATAGCATGGTGACCTTGACCCTAGAATGCTGGTTCTGCATGACTGTGATGAAAGATAATGAATATGTACAGAGTGTGGGTGCTACAGTCTCCTTAAATAACGAGTGTCGTCGCGTTAAATTAGACGGGACATCTCGCTCCTCGCCCTCTATAGCCTCGTCTATGTATCATCAGCCTTTAGTGTCCTTATGACCAGAGGGAGGCGAGTTCAGCACATCGTTGTCACATTAGAAGATACTTAGGCAATAATAACTTAGTTCGAACCATTTAGAAATAACAAAGACGAGGTGGATTTAAAGCGTCTTATAATAAATATTCAAATATCACTTATTAGTTAAGACCCAAATATACGAAGGTGAAGGATACCCGAGGCAGAGCGAACACTTGCAGGACCGGGTTGAAGATTATGAGCACCACAGCTCTGATCAAGCGGCTCTCATTCAATGGCCACTGATAAGTCGAGCAATATTTCTAACTGGAGGGAAGCTAGCAGACCATATTGCACCAGGGGACGGGCACGGTCACCAGCTGCTGCATGCATGTATAACTGAACGCTTTCACCGGCGCCTTCACTTTCAGGTCTTTCGTCTAAGCGCAACTGCACCGCACCACAAAAACTCACCGCGCATTATTAATTATTTTCCGCCAAAGTATTTTTCGATTATAGATAGAATCGGAAATTAATCATGTTAAGGAATTCGTGCGTTAACAAGTTAAAGCTTTGGTCTGTAGAAATGTAATATTCACCAGCGATCTATGAGCAAAAATATATATAAAAAAAGGCAAACGAAACATTTCCTAAGGCACTTCTTTAGCTTTACTATAATTTTAAATAATGTACAAAATATATTAATTGACATGCATGTATTAATTTATACATTTCGACGACATGCATGTATTAATTTATTGAGCGGAAAAGTTAAGGTGAACTGTAAAACAAACATTAACCAAATACGCTAATGTCATGCACATGGCAATGAGTGTTGGCCATGTGTTAATTCTCCTCGAACTCTAACATCAATGAGACGTCAACCCTGAAAATGTAATTGATCGGAAAATTTTAGAGCTTTCAATACAATTATACGAGATTAAAGAATACATAGCTACTACTAGGGTACCAGCTAGAAAGATTCCAACATATGGCGAGGGTCAACTATTATAAAATTCACCAAGAGAAAAAGCAATAAACAGGAACTATCGTGCAGGTTAAATGCACAGGAGGTCAATTCTTGAGACCTCAAGTACAGGGGAAAGATTCAGTTACAAATTTGAGGACTGAGTCTCATGCACAGCTGCAGTTGAGATATAAAAATTGAAGTGTAAAAATATTATCGGAATTATTTACAGTCTTTCCGATATGGTCACGATCACTTTACTCTTAAGAAAGCGAAGGAGATGATGATGTTCCCCCACTCTACCAACCATCACTTTGCAGAGCATGATTATTTGCAATGAATTAGCAATGCTCTAGACTTCCTTTCAGTCACGTAGCATCAGTGCAGTACAGCACAGCTAATAAAATAAAAATTCGGGTTACGCACACACGCAAATCAAGAACACCGCATGAGAACCAACGCAGACGCCCTAAGCAAGCACGAGACACTTGTTCGGTCACGCAATAGCTCTTTATAAAGCTTCAAGTACACACTTGTTAAAATACGTCGACACGAACACTACTTGCTCACCAAGGCGAGATCTGCATGTCCCGCACTCGATACCTCTCTTGTGCCGCAACATGCAGCCGTGTTCGACAACAGTCCTCATATTGATGCAGTGATAAGAAATCATGTCTTTCATTGAACTTACTCGGCAAGGATATCATCGCATCAACCAATCAAAAAAGACTTTCACTCAGTAGTGATGCAGTATAGTAACGTATTCATTGTACAGGCTCCACAACAAGCAGACAAATAATTCTTTGAAGATAATTTAACTCGGTTAATTCTGAACTGCAGTTCGAGAATGCAAACCTTCTTGGGAACGGGACAATAAATTACCTCGAATTAAGGATAACAAGCGCAATGATTCAGCGTAGCTTCAAGCCTGCACCACGCACATGAATGACGACCAAATACATCAAACACGCAGCCAAGGATGCAAGCGGGTTCCCTTCACACACAAGATCCTATCATAGTGAGGGCTTTTCTAGGCAGCCGAGTATGAAAAACTAATGAATGTATGCAGTAAAAATATGTACAAGCAGTTTAATGCAGAAATACGAGCGAAGGAAAACTCAATAAAATGACGCTATATTGTAATGTATTTTGCGTCTGGTTTTGTGAGGACAAATGAGGCATGAGCCTCCCAAG